AGTGGGAGAAGGAGACGAAAGAAGGGGAGGAGAGAAACAAAAACAAGAACAAAATGAGCAAGAATAGGAAGAAAGAAAGAAGAAATTAATTTAATATTTTTCCCTTGGAAAATAAAAGCTAAGTTCCAAAAATGTATCATTTGGATCATATTGGTTAGTTCTTAAGTTACTGTCTCTCTGATCTAAACTCATCCTTCTTTTATTTTGTAAAGTTGGGACAGAAACTTTGAGAATTGTATTTCCCCTTTGTCAGTTAATTCTTGTTAAAATCTGCCAAAGACAGCTGCAGAAGAAGATTATAAAGCAGGAGGAAGACCAATATATTTTAGAAAGAAATAATATGGATAACAGCAGCAGTAGATAAACTAGGAAATAGAGGCAACAGAAAAATTCATTAAGCAAATAAAATAAATCTTTAAAAATATTAATAAAATCTGAAAACTTCTGGCACAACTGGTCAAGAAAAAAAGAGAAACCATAAAAAATTGAACTGAATAAAAGGAAGAGAGAAGTAGAGTTACAACAAAAATGAAGAAAGAATACTGAGGGTTTCTGCCTCAAGGAATGGCAGATAATTTAGCTCTTATGAATACTCTAACTCCCAATGGAAAATTGTAGACAAAGTAGAAATGTGGGATTATTGGAACATATAATAAAGAAAACTTCAACATACACAAAACAGATTAGCATAATGAATCTTGAAAGAAGTCAGAACTTAAACACTGGAGGAGAGAACACTACCATAGCTGCTGGTATTTCTGAGATGGCAAAATAAGGCTAGTTCTGGGAATACATAAAGAAGGTGGAAATTGGAACCAAATGTTTCTTCAATGTAAAAAGCCATTGCTAGGGTGAAGCTGACACAAACAGCCAGCTAACAGAAAGGAGCAAACAAAGTTGGAAAATATTCAAAATACATAATGCATAGTGATAGTGCAAGTGTGTGCCAAATGTGTCCTCATACACTGTTTATGGTAATATTAATAGTATACAATCTTTCTGAAGGCAATGTGTCAATATGTTTCAAAACCATAAAAATGTTCATACTGTTTCATAAGGTGACCCACATTTGGTAGTTTATTTAAAGACAAGATTCAGAGATGTGGCCCAAAATTTGCATTCCTAATGGTAATAAAATACGTTCAACATGGAAATAGAGACCAAACAATTAACCTGAGCAAGGATTATGCCCAAATCACCTCCTCCAGAAAGCCTTCCAGACAATCTATAATGTGAAGTAGCTACCTCATCTGCGAGCTCCCATTGTCCCCTGCACTTCCCCCTAATTCACCATGCTTACAGTACTCTGTAAGGTGACGGTTTGACTATTTCTCCTATCCCCACCTGATGGTGTGACCCTTGTGTCTTTATCTCTGTATCTTCAGCACCTGCTCAAAGAAGGATTCAATAAATATTAATTGAATGAATTGAGGAAAAAAAATAAGGAAAAAGGACATTTTTTCATGAAAAAGGCATTGATCTGTAGACATGACAAAAATGTGTAGGGGTAAATTCATATTTCTTTTAATATAAAAAAATCAATAGCTGAGTCTTCCACTTTATGAACAATGTAAGGCCTGTGCTGAGTTTCTTTCATTCACTTTGCCAGATCCACAACACACCCTTCTCCACCCTGGTCTGTGCTACAGGAAACTGACCTGCATGGACTATGTCTACTGAATCCCTTGCCCTCTAGATTCCATGAGGTTCTGTCAGTGAGAAGCCTGGTGGCAGATTGGGGTTGATAGGAGAATGAGGTAAGACTGTTAATTTCCTTGCTCCCTGCCTGCTAGGTCATTGGGAATCATTTGGTCTCTCTTTGGGAAGCTTCAGCTCTGGTTGGGCAGTTATCTCCAAACAGCCACCCACTCTGTGCTACAGTATCTGCTCTCTCTCCTTGCTTCTTCAGGCCTAGAAATAATACTGTCTCTCAGGCTGGGTGCGGTGGCTCACGCCTGTAATCCCAGTACTTTGGGAGGCCGAGGTGGGCAGATCATGAGGTCAGGAGTTTGAAACCAGCCTGGCCAGCACGGTGAAACCCCATCTATACTAAAAGTATAAAAATTAGCCGGGCATGGTGGTGCATGCCTGTAATCCCAGCTACTTGGGAGGCTGAGGCAGGAGAATCCCTTGACCCCAGGAAGCGGAGGTTGCAGTGAGCCAGGATCGCGCCACTGCACTCCAGCCTGGGTGACAGAGTAAGACTCTTTCTCAAAAAAAAAAGAAAAAGAAAAGAAAAGAAATAATACTGTCTCTCCATCTTGCTAGATCTGACATAGTTTGGTTTCTAAACTCTGCCTGCAGGTTTGTACAAATGTCCTCTTCTCAAATTACCTAGTTCGAATGGGCCCTCGGATTCTTGCCAGAACCCTGACTATTAAAAGGCCTTTGTTCACAATTCTGAATAAGATCTTGCAAAGGGGACAAATTTTATGGTTGACATTAGCATCCTCTAGTGTTTTTTTTTTTTTTTTTAATCCAAAGATATAATAGTGGATATCAATAGGATCTTTTAAGGCAGTGTTACTTAGCAGAAATGTGCTAAGAGTTTTACTATGGGCAAGGGTTAATGCTTTTTAAAATCAATAATACAAACTATAGTTAGAAAATAGCATAAAACAAGCTGCTTCATAGCAGAAAAAAAAGCTACAAACCAGGAAAAACATTATTATTGTCAGTTTTCTCTCCACAGCAATGATGTAATTTAATCTTAAAATTTTAAAGAACAATAAATATTAAGAATCACTAGACAATAGGTATCTTCATTATGCTAACCATTTTTATATCCTATACTTTCAGCGTTTAGAACAGAATCTTGTACATGAGTACTGAGAAACTATTTATTGAATTAACTAATCAGGAAGAATACTGTAAACAAAACATAAAATATCATCTTGCATAAAAAGGAAGATTTTACACTGAGAATATGGAGTGACAATCTGGTTATTATATAAGAACAAAGACATAAGTGACTAAAAGATGGGCCCAAAAATAGTAAATACCCATAAATAAGTACATAAAAATGATCAATATGTACATAGACTAAAACTATTGGACTTGTATGAAAACAATAGATATCATTTATTAAGTGAATACATCTATTAAGTACTTCACATATACTATTAATAACTTCAATCCGCACATTCCTGTTATGTGGAGGTAATTAAGGAAGGTCTAGAAGGAGGTGATATCTGTGTTAACCCAGAAAGAAGGAACAGGAATTGTCCAAGAAGGTGAAAGGAGAAAGAAAGTTCCAGGTAGAACACCAGCATGTGTGTTCACAGAGACAAGAGAGCAGGATGCATTTCAGGAACTTCAGACATTTCAGTTCTGAAGAAGGGGTAAAAGTTGCCAGGAGACAAAGCAGGATTTTATCGTGAAGACCATGGGAAGCCATTATTTCTACATAGAAATATCATTATCTAACATTTGTTTTAGGTGTGTGTATGGCAAAGCAGTGCAAAGATGATTGTTATTAAGACTAAAATGAATAATAAGGGTAAGTAACAAATATACTATAAAGCACAGACACTTGTTCTTATCTTAGGTTGTTGCTATGCTGCTTTTTGCACTCCTGCATTATTATACCAGTCTACATTCTCAGAAAAGTCACCTTTGGCTTTGTGCCCCCCAGTCAGCTGTTCAGTCTGTCTGGCAGATCCCCATTGGCACTTAGACCAACCATATCTTTTGGAGTTGTACATCCTTTGTCTAATGCCCTAACAAGGCTCTACAGCCCTCACTGGGGCAAGAGCACCACCTTGTGTTGCATCACTGACTGTTCACAATTCTCAACATGCTTTGTTTTTGTTTGAGCTGGAGCTACTTGTGGCTGAGGCCTTTGAAGCTTCCTCCCAGCAGCAGCATGGAATAGAAAATTGTTAACAAATATTTTTCCAAATATAACAAAAATGGAGCCCAAGCCCTTTTTTCAACACAGTAAAAAATGTTAGACATGCCAATGTCTAACATTAGTATATTGGTTACTACATGCTGGAAAATGCTTAGCTTATGTCCTCTGAACTCTTGCTGTTTACTATTGCTTTTAACAGATTTATGCTTAAAAATGTTTTTAATACAACTGAAATTATGATCTAGGAGCTAAAAGTCAGTTGAATGTAAACTTACCCTGTTCTGTCTTATAGAATCCCATAGTCAGTAAGTTTTTAAAAAGGATTCCAAGGAGTTCTTTGAAAGTACATTCCTTGATGTCTGCAAGCCTTTGCAAGCAGATAAACTATTTAAACTATTTTAAAAGCATTATTGGAGAAAGAAGTTTTCTTAAATTCCTGGAGAAGGACCATGCATAGATTATTTCTGCCTCCTCCTCCTTACACCACTCCACAGCAGTTTTGCCTTGCTTTTCTATTTTCCTGGCTTTATTTCTTTCTCATATTTATTGCAAAATAAGCTCCAAATAAGTAGAAGTTTATTACTATTTTCTTAGAGCAGAAGCCAACATACTACCACTAAAAACGCCACTGAACACACATGATGAACATGCAATGCAAATTGAAAAATCCATTAATGTATTATTATTGTTCCTATTTCAAGATGGGAAACTGAAGGTCAAAGAGGATTACAGAAGTTCATACATCTAGTAAGTGGTACAGTCATTTCAAATCCAGGTCTCTTGGACTCAGAACTTATGACCAAAACTATTATGCTTTATTGTCTCTAACCATAGCATTCCAAATCATAAGCATATATTAATACTAAACACCTGTTAAGTATAATCCAAATTATGTGCCAATGTCAAAACTGCTACAAATTTGGAAAAAAAGTTGATCATTCAAAACTTACTGCAAAACTACAGTAACCAAGGTGGCTGGCAAGATGGCCGAATAAGAACAGCTCCAGTCTGCAGCTCCCAGCGAGATCAATGCAGAAGGTGGGTGATTTCTGCATTTCCAACTGAGGTACCTGGCTCATCTCATTGGGACTAAACAGTGGGCGCAGCCCACAGAGGGTGAGCCAAAGCAGGGTTGGGCGTCGCTTACCTGGGAAGCACAAGCGGTCGGGGAACTCCTTCGGAACTGGTTAACAGGCAGAGGCTGGAATAGTTGGGAGGACTCAGAAGACATAAAAATGTGGGAAAGTTTGGAACTCCTAGAGATTTGTTGAATGGCTTTGACAAAAATGCTGACAATGATATGAACAGTAAGGTCCAGGCTGAGTTGGTCTCAGATGGAGATGAGGAACTTACTGGAAACTGGAGCAAAGGTGACTCTTGTTATGTTTTAGCAAAGAGACTGGAGGAATTTTGCCCCTGCCCTAGAGATTTGTGGGACTTTGAACTTGAGACATATGATTTAGAGTATCTTGCAGAATAAATTTCTAAGCAGCAAAGCATTCAACAGATGACTTGGATGCTGTGAAAAGCATTCAGTTTTAAAAGGGAAACAGAGCTTAAAAGTTTGAAAAATCTGCAGCCTAACAATGCAATAGAACAGAAAATCTCATTTTCTGAGGAGAAATTCAAGCCAGCTACAGAAATTTGCATAAGTAACGAGAAGCCAAATGTTAATCCCCAAGACAATGGGGAAAATGTCTCCAGGGCATGTCAGAGACCTTTGCAGCAGCCCCTCCCATCACAGACCTGGAGGTTTAGGAGGAAAAAATGGTTTCATGGGCAGGGCACTGGGTCCCCATGCTATGTGCAGTCTAGGGACTTGGTGCCCTGTGTCCCAGCTGCTTCAGTCATGGCTGAAAGGGGCAACATAGAGCTTGAGCCATGTCTTCGGAGGGCACAAGCCCCAAGCATTAGCAGCCTCCACATGCTGTTGAGCCTGCAGGTGCACAGAAGTCAAGAACTGGGGTTTGGGAACCTCCGCCTAGATTTCAGAAGACGTATGGGAATGCCTGAATGGCCAGGCAGAAGTTTGCTGCAGGGACAGTGCTCTCATGGAGAACCTCCGCTAGGGCCGTGCAGAAGAGAAATGTGGGGTTGGACCCTCTTGCATCAGTGTGACCTGGATGTGAGATCTCGAATCAAAGGAGATAATTTTGGAGCTTTAAAATTTGCCCTGCCGGATTCTGGACTTGTATGGGCCCTGTAACTGCTTTGTTTTGGCCAATTTCTCCCATTTGGAACTACAGTATTTACGCAATACCTGTACCCCCATTGTATCTAGAAAGTAACTAGCTTGCTTTCGATTTTATAGACTCATAGGCAGAAAGGACTTGTCTTGTCTCAGGTGAGACTTTGAACTGTGGACTTTTGGGTTAATGCTAAAATGAGTTAAGACTTTGGGGGACTGTTGGGAAGGTGTGATTAGTTTTGAAATGTGAGGACATGAGATTTGGAGGGGTCAGGGGTGGAATGATATGGTTTGGCTCTGTGTCCCCACCCAAATCTCATCTTGAATTATACTCCCATAATTTCCACTTGCTGTGAGAGGGAGCCAGTGGGAGATAATTTGAATCATGGGGGTAGTTTCCCCCATGTTGCTCTTGTGGTACTGAATAAGTCTCATGAGATCTGATGGTTTTATCAGGGTTTCCCCTTTTACATCTTTGTCATTTTTCTCTTGCTGCCACCATGTAAGAAGTGCCTTTTATCTTTCGCCATGATTCTGAGGCCTCCCCAGCCATGTGGAACTGTAAATCCAATTAAACCTCTTTTTCTTCCCTGTCTAAGGTATGTCTTTATCAGCAACATGAAAATGGACTAATACAAGAGCCTAATTTAAAAATGGGCAAAGGAAGTGACTAGATCATTCTCCAAAAAGGATATACAAATGGTCAATAAGCACATGAAAAGATGATCAACATTATTAGCCACTAGGGAAATGAAAATCAAAACCACCAGATGTCATTTTACATCCACTAAGATGACTACACTAAAAAAGGTAGACAATAACAAATGTTAGCAAGAATGTGGAGATATTCAAATTCTCATATATTGCTCATGGGACTATAAAATGGTGGTAGCCACTTTGGAAAATAGTCTGACAGTTTCTCAAAGGGTTAAACAGAGTTACCACATGATCCAGCAATTAGACTCCTAGGTATATACCCAAGGAAAATAAAAATGTATCTACACAAAAACGCACACGCAAATGTTCACAGCAGCAGTATTCATAATAGCAAAAAGGAGAAATCACCCAAATGTCCATCAATTGATGAATGGATAAACAAAATGTAGTATATTTATACAATGAAATATTGTTTAAAAATAAAAAGAAATGAAGTAATGATATGTGCCACTACATGCATAAACCTTGAAAACACGTTAAGTGAAAAACCTATCACAAAGGACCACATATTCCATGATTTCATTTATATGAATTTTCAAGAATGGAAAAATCACAGAAAGTAGATTGGCAGTTGCCTGATGCTGGAGAGGAAAAGGAGATTGTAGGGTGATGGTTAGGGAATGTGGGTTTTTTGGAGGGGGTAATGACAATGTACTAAAATTGTGTTGATGGATGCATAACTCTGTGAATATACTAAACACTCTTGAATTCTACACTTTAAGTGGGTGAATCATATGGCATGTGAGTTATATCTTAAAAAATCATAATAAATTTATATGTGATGGTCATTCAGGAATATTTTACTTTGCACACAGAAGCACAGGGGCACATGGTGATGCTGAGACAAAATCTTAGGTCAGACATAAATATGAAAACTGCAAGTCTCTAAAGCCTCATGTAGCTGCTCCTCAGAAATGTATTTTAAGACATAATTGGTTTCAAAAACAAGAGAGTTAGTGAACAAACAAAAGAAAAGTATATAAAGTAGTAAAACTGCTGCAAAGGTTACCTTGATGATATCAAAGACATAAGTTCATGGGAATAAGTCACTGCCATAGGCAAAGAGAACTTACTTTCAGGTTCCCTTTGCTGTGGTGAGCAGAGAGAAAAATCAATCAATGTTTTTGTGCCACAAATGAAGTATGGATAAATTTAGATACCTTTTAGCTTCTTTAACCAGGCTTAAAATGACAAAAACCAATACTATAGTCAAAAGATTACTTCTGGAGAAGCCCTACTCTTGAATTAATCTTTGGAAATTAAGAATTGCTAAGGAATATTGCCATTTGGGGGTAGGCATGTAATATTGTAATAATGAATTTCTTTTGAAAAATACCCATTTTTACTTAGAAGAACCATTCAGTAATTCAAGGCAAAAATTTCTTTTTTAATATTTAATTTTAATTTTTGTGGGTACATAGTAGGTGTATACATTTATGGGGTACATGAAATGTTTTAATGCAGGCATGAAATGTTTAATAATAATCACATCATGTAAAATGGGGTATCCATCCCCTCAAGCATTTATCCTTTGTGTTATAACATTCCAATTATACTCTTTTTATTATTTTTAATGTACTATCGAGTTATTACTGGCTATAAAAAGTAACCCTATTGTGCTATCAAATACTAGGTCTAACTCTATCTTTTCTGTACCCATTAACCATTGCCCCCAGTCTCCCCCTACCAAATTTGAGCTCAATTTTTAGTTTTCTGAGGAACCTTCAAACTGTTTTCCATAGTGGTTGTACTAATTTACATTCCCACCAACAATGTACAAGGGTTTCCTTTTCTTCACCTCCTCGACAGCATTTGTTACTGTCAAGGCAAAAATTTCAAGGAATGTTGTGAAGACATATTAAGGTCAATATCTTCAACATAAATTTTATACTTATGTTTTATTTTAAAGTTCATTTACAATTTATCTCTATAATGTCTATATATATTACTTATATGTTTATGAATTTTAGACTAAATTTTAATTGGAAATTATTTTTAAAATTTTATTGATGAATTCAATTATTTATAACTTCATATACTAACCAGGTATTGCCAAATTATGATGCAGTAACAAAAATCCAGCCTCTCAGGACTTACAACAAACATCTTGTTACTTTACATGTCAGTAGGAGGTTGCCTGTGTGTTCCACCTTCTTTTCCATTTGTGATTTAGGTAGAGTAGTGAAGGGGTGGCCTGCCCCTCCACACCTGTGGGTGTTTCTCGTTAGGTGGAATGAGAGACTTGAGAAAAGAAATGAGACACAGAGACAAAGTATAGAGAAAGAAAAAGTGGGCCCAGGGGACCGGTGCTCGGCTTACAGAGGACCCACGCCAGCACTGGTCTCTGAGTTCCCTTAGTATTTATTGATAATTATCTTTACCATCTTAAAGATAAGGGAGTGGCTGGACAATAGGATCATTGTAGGGAGGAAATCAGCAGTAAGACATATGAACAAAAATCTCTGTGACATGAATAAGTTTAAAGGAAAATGCTGTGCCTTGAGATGCATATGCAAACATCTCCATAAACCTTTTAGCAGCATTGTTTCGGCCTATCACCTGGGGAGAAATCTTGGACAATACCTAGCTTTCCTAGGCAGAGATCTCTGCGACCTTTGGCCGTGTACGTGTCCCTGGGTAGTTGAAATTAAGAGAATGGTGATGACTTTTAACCAGCAAGCTGCTTTCAGGTACTTGTTTAACAAAGACACATCCTGCACAGCCCCAAATCCATTAAACCTTGAGTCACGAGTCACCACAGCACATGTCTCTTGTAAGGACAAGGTTGGGGGTAGGGTCACAGATTAACAGCATCTCAAATACAGAACAAAATGGAGTCTCTTATGTCTACTTCTTTCTATATAGACACAGTAACAGGCTGATCTCTTCCTTTTCCCCACAGAGTAGCAGTCTTCATGTGGAACTTTGTCATTGTTGTGGCAGTGGGAAAAGAGAAGGCCGAACCACAGATGGCCCTTAATGCTTCTGGTAATAGTAGACATCATTTCTGCTTAGATTCCACTGGCCAAAGCAAGTCATCTAGCAAAACCTGACATCACTAAACCTCTGAAGTGCACAGAAAAAAACACCACTGGTCAGTGAAGCCCGACATCACAGATGGAGAATTATCAGCCTTTCACAGGATAAACAGCAAACATGTAAAAACAGTAATCTGTCATCACCATGAATAATAGAGTCTGAAGGAAACATTAGAGATAATCTAATTCAATCTCATAAGTTTATAGATGAGAAATCAGAGACCTAGAAAGAGAAAGTGATTTGCTGTAACTAATCAGGATGAAATATCTGATAAACAGTCTCACACCATAGTAGAATTCACCTTTTTGTTTATAGGAACA